CATCACAGTCAATTGCTGGTTAATACCATCAAGTTGTTCCATCACCGGCTTAAGCATATCTGCCAGGAGTTTGAGGACATCTGCTCCCTCTTCCGGTCTCGGACTCTGCCTGCCCGGTTTCATTTTAAACTTTCTTTGCTGGGCTGCCGTCTTTCCCATTTTGTTTACAAATTCTGCCACTTCCCCACAACTCGGAAAACTCGCCAAACAACTTCGCAATTCAGATAAGTCTCTCAAAACATTTTTTGGTTTACTTCCTCCCCTCTCCCCCTTCATGTCTGTTAACCGTTCTTTCGTAAAAGAGGCGTCCCTCTTTGCAATCTGTTTCCGATCGCGGGGGGGATCGCTTTCCAAACTACTCCATTTTAATTAGAACTCATGTTCATTGTCGGCCAGTTTATCTGACCACGCTCAGTTTAATACCATTCCGCTCGATCTCTGGCGCTTGACCTGGTCAGTCCTGCTTGTGCCCGAAGGCCACTCAGCGACTGGACCATCGGGGCAGAGGGGAGCCTCAATTCTCTGGCATTATGCCATCGAAGAGGCTACCCCTCGAAACCCCCCTGGCCTGGAGCCTATCGCAAAGGCTCTGCGGGGGTGTCACTTGAGGTGGCACCCCTCCAGGCTGCTGGTCTGTAATTCGCCCTCCTCCATTGTGAGGAGAGCGTCCGCCATCGCTGTTCCATAGACCAAAACTCCCACTACACAACATTATGGATTAAAAATTGGCCAAATGACAGAAGGAAGCAAGAGAATAGGAATCAATGGGCAGAGCTCACGCTGGAGGGAAGTAAGCAGTGGGGTCCCACAAGGGGGCCAGTACTGGTGCTATTTAATTTATTCATATATGATCTGAAACTAGGGTGAGTAGCATAGTGGCTAAGTTTGCAGATGACCCAAATTATTCAGGATGGTGAGAACCAAGGCTGACTAGGAAGAGCTCCAAGAGGACTTCCACAGACTGGGTGAAGGGGTGACCATGTGGCAAATGAAGTTCAGTGCCAGTAAGTGTGAGGTGATGTGCATGGGGTGGGGGGGATTGCAACTTCAGGTATTGGCTAACGGGGTCTGAACTTGCTGAGACCGAGAGGGAAACGATCTTGGGGTCATAGTGGATAGCTCAATGAAAAGGTCAACCCCAGTGTGATGCAGCAGTGAAAAAGACAAACTCTATGCTAGGGATTATTAGGAAAGGGACTGAGAATAAAACAGCCAATATTGTAATGCCCCTGTATAGATCTATGGTGGGGCCTCATTTGGAATACTGTGCGCAGTTCTGGTCACCATTTCTCAAAAAGGACATTACAGAGCTGGAAAAAGTACAGAGGAGGGCAACCAAGATGATGAGGGGGTTGGAGCGCCTTCCCTACGAGGAAAGGCTGAAGAGTCTGGGACTTTTCAGTTTATAAAAGAGACGACTAAGAGAGGACATGGTCGAGGTTTGTAAAATTATGCATGAGGTGGGGAGAGTTGCCAAAGAGAATTTTCCCCCCTCTCCTGAAATACTGGAACTCCAAGGCATCCAATGACGCTGATGGGTAGTAGATTCAGGATGGACAAAAGGAAATACTTCTTTACACAGAGAGTGGTTACAATGTGGAATTTGCTGCCAGAAGATGTTGCGATGGCCTCAGGAATAAACAGCCTTTTGGGGGTATTTTTTAAAAAAATATGCGCATATGTCTCTCTGTGTGTGCGTGCACACACCTGGAAGTGACTGACCCCTACTGGGGACCTGGAGGTTATTCAGAGAGGTGGCTGAATAAGGCCTGCCCCTGCCTCCCGCCTCTGGTATTCCAAGGAGGTTTCCCATCGAAGTACTTGCCACAGTCGACCCTGCTTAGCTTCTGAGGGCAGGGCAGGGATAAACAGCTTGAAAAGGGGATCAGATACATTCATGGAGGAGAGGTCTATCAGTGGCTGTTAGCCATGGGGACCAAGGAGAACCTTCACATTCAGAAGCACTAGTCCTCTGAACCTCAGAGCCAGGAGGCCACATCAGGGGAAGGCCTCGGTCTCTCTGCCCTGTTGTTGGCCCTCCAGAGGAACTGGTTGGGGCCACTGTGTGAGGCAGAATGCTGGACTAGATGGACTCTCACTGATCTGATCCAGCAGGGCTCTTCTGATGTTCTTAACCTTGATATGGATGTGCGTATACTTTTTTGCAATGTTTCATTAACACGTGCTAGTGCAGACAAGGGACTCAAGTGGGGAGATTATCCCTACAAACTGAAGCAGTCAGTGCCTTGGTGTGGTGGTTGGTTAGGACTGGGAAGACCCAGGTTGTAATCCATGGGTCATTTCATAGAAAAAGAGCTAGGGGAACTCATTAGCATAACTCATTAGCATATGCCACACCCCCTGACATCAGGGGCCCGGCGGTGGACCTGCAAGGCCAGCGGGAGTGCGAGGAAGCCCCGCCAAGGCCCTCCCTGGCCCCAGGCAGGCAGGGGTGGGGAGAGGCGGGGAGGAAGCAACTCTCTTTTCCTGCTTCCTCCTGGCTGAATGAGGGCTGGAAGCGGGGCGGCCGGAAGCAGGAGGCGGGGCTTCGTCATGTGCCCCACCCCCTGCACCTCACCCGGGGGAACTGCGTTCCCCCCCGAAATGACCTCTGTTGTAATCCCAACTCCTCCATGAAGGTCACTGGATGACCTTGGTCCAGTCAGTTGCTCTGAGCTTGGCAGCTTCACAGGGTTGTTGACAGGATGAAGTGGGGAAGTCTATGCACACTACCCTAAACTCCGGGGAAGAAGGATGGAACAAAAACAGTAGAGAGAGAGAGAGAAGAACAAAACATAGCAAATTTCTAATAATAAGGAACACAACCTGGAAACGGAACAGATTTTGATTTTGTTGCTGGACAAATGCCCCCCCTGCCCTGATTCTTCCTCAGTAACAAACCCGCCATCGCAGTGAATTATTTATCTGCCCCCTAAAACATCATGATCGAGAAGCAATGTTCCCTCTAAGCCGTGGAGTCTTGTGAGCAAAAATTCTACTTTGTGAGCTACTGGCATTAAAGTTGTGAGCAAGCGATTTGGCTAATACATAAAGTAGTTTGCTCTGGAGCCATCCTTCCTGAGCTGAGACAAAAATGTGTGAGCCGGAGGCTAAAAAACGGTGAGCTAGCTCACATTAACTCAGCTTAGAGGGAACACTGCCAAGAAGACGGTGTTCTTTGCATGGAGAACCACCATGGCACAGTGGTTAGAATTTCAAACTAGGATCTGGGTGATGTCAAGAGAAAATGTGGCTACACATATCTGTTAATGCGTGTCACCCATGTCACACACACACTCCTATGGTTCATGTGTCCACTGAGTGTTGCCTCCTTACCACAGGCAAAGGTGTAAAATTGGAAACCGCGAAGCGCCGACAGAGACACTCAAACAAGGTCTCTTCTTTAAAAATGAAACTTATCTTTGGCCCCGGTCACACGGAGGATTAGCCACGCCAGAGAGATGGAAGATAGGCGGATTTTCCGGGCGCGATCACAGCGCCACATCTGGGAAGCGTAGAGCTCCCGTGGCTCACCCGAGGCTTCCCGCCGAAGATGCGGGGTAAAAAACTAGTACCTCCGAGGTACTAGTTTAGGAAACTGCGGGGCAAGGGTGGGCGTCTGATCGCGTTTCCGGTGGCATCCGGCGCCCGCCCATGTCCCCTCGCAAAAAGGTTTTTTCCCCCCAAGTCTCCATGGGATGCGCGCAAGCACCCAACGGAGCATGCGCACATTTCAGGGTTTTTTTAAAAAAACACAACCCCGTTTGCCGCGCCGCTCCGCTTTTTTGCCACGTCCTGTGATCCGCACCTCTCCCCTAACCACGGGAGCTCGACGGGACCTCAACCCAATGCCTGATTGTGCAGTCGCGCGTTATTTTGCTCCGGGGCAAACAGCCACGCCTCCCCCCCCCCCCGCATTTTCCTGCCCGTGTGGCCGAGGCCACTATTAAATACTTAGCCAAAGTTAAATGCCAGGTGAATGGCCAGCAAAATACTAGACCAGCTGCCAACACAATACAGCTCTATTTCCTAAAAATGAGAACACAGAGATAAAAATATACAAACAAAATTTCCCTTTTTAATCATGCTAAAAAAAACCGAAAGGCCTTCCGGGCTTAAACTCCTAAGCCTCTGGGGATACATGGCCTCCCCGATTCCAAAGAGAGTTCAGCAAAGACTAGTTGGAGGCGAAGTGAATTTATACAAATCAATCAAAGGACTGCTAAATAACTCTGACAGTTACAGATTACATCAATTGACATAAATTGGCATTTGATGAACAAACCATTGACAGGAGATGGCTCTCACATTCCAGAAAGTTACATTTTGTTTATAGAACAAAACCAGATAACACCTACATTTCTGAATGACAGACTTCAAGATGTTTATGTCAATGTGTCCTTTATGTTCCAGGCATGGGAGATAAAATATTGCTGACGTTATAGCAAGGATGGAAGTGGGAGTGTGAATCCCTGTGTCATTGGCATCGATAGCTTTGCAAATTTACCGCTTCTTGGGACCCAAAGGGTCCTTCCTGCCAAATGTATTGTACTGTTCCTTGATTCACGTCTTCACACCTATGGCCATTTGCATTTGTTTTTATTAAATCCTGGGAATGGAATGCAGGGCCTCTGTGTACGTGACTACAGAAAGGTATCTGCTTAAGACAAAGAGGTTTGCATGGGTGTTTGGTTCAGTACAGCTAGCAGGCTGCAAGTTGCTTACTAACAAAGGCAGAAATGGTTACATGCAGGGCTTTCTTTGTAGAAAAAGTCCAGCAGGAACTCATTTTTTTTTTTATTTTTTTTTTGTAAATAATTTTTATTAAATTTTTCAATTGCAACATACCAATAATGCAAAATAATACAATAACAGGGTAAATATATCTTGATTACATATCATAATACTAAACTTCATTAACTAAACATACAACACACTATAACTACTAACTAACGTTCAACTATATTAATTGAAATCAAACTTGTTATTATTGGATTATTTAAAAAATAGCAATTATTTCTTTGTACCTCTGTGGAACAGATGAAGATGGAATTATGGACTTAACTAATGTTGCATCTACAAAGTCAACCCATTTCGCATAAAACAATAGTTGCTTTTTATACGTATTGGTAGGTGGTGTTAAAGTCATTATTTTTTCCATCGCATAATACTCCCATATTTTGAGATACCATTGGTTCAACGTTAAAGAAGAATCGCTTTTCCAATTAGCAGCTATTACTGTTTTCGCTGCCATCAAAAGAGTTGAGATAAGCTCTTTACTCGATAGAGGAATATTAATGTCTTGCCATAAATCTAATAGAATTAGGTCTGGGTTAAAAGGTAAATTAATCTTTGTTATTTCCCTGATGGCTTGTAATATGGATGACCAAAATTGTCTGACTTTTTTACAAAGCCACCAACAATGTATGTAGTCCGCTGGATCTCCACAACCTCTCCAACAGAGCGGTGAGTAGTCTGTGTTAATTTGATGGAGTCTCAAAGGTGTATAATACCATCGAAGTACAACTTTGACTGCTTGAGCTCTTATATTTAAGGATTTGGATGTCATACTTGGCGATGACCATATTTTTTCCCATACAGGATCTGTTAAAGAAGTTGAACAGTCAGCATTCCATGCCAACTGATGTGTAGTAAAAGTTTCATTGCAATGAGATAGCAAAATTTTATAGATTGTGGAAATCATGTTTTTACTACTTATCTTGTGTAAAGTCATTAGTGTTTCAAAGGGTGTAAGTTGTTTATTTGCCTCTCCATTTTGGAAAATTTTATTCCATAAATTTTTAATTTGTAAATACTCAAACCATGGGATGGTGCATTTGATGTTCTGTTCTATTGCTTCTCTAGATAAAAGTTGAAAATTTTTACTGATATCGTAAAATCTAACTATGTTTTTTTTCTTCCAAATTGGAAAAGATTCGCTTGGAAGAGCGGGTTCGAACCAGGATTGTCTGGTATAGCAAGTAAGTAAGGACGGAGTCGGTGTTAATTTAGGTTTCCATTTGTCCCATATGCTTAGAACATTATCTAAAAACATGTTGGATTGAATATCTGGGGATCTTTTTTGCTTTCTTTCCCATAGTGTTTCCACTAATGTATTATTTTCTAAATATTCCGATTCTATGATTTTCCAATCCGCTACATAATTATTATTACTTTGTTTCAATAAACCAACAAGAGAGGTACTATGATAATATAATTTTAAATCTGGCAGTGAAAGTCCTCCCTGTGATGGTAGGCGCCTTAGTGTTGGGAAATTTATCCTATGTGAAGATTTATTCCAAACATATTTTAAAAATTTGTTCTGCCAAAATTTAATTGTGTCTATTGGTATTTTAATGGGGATTGCTCTGAATAAATATAAAAATTTAGGGAATATGAACGTTTTTAATATTTGTATCTTTTCAATCCAGTTAAAAAGCGGAGCTGAGGGCCTTGAATATAGTGTATTTAAAGAGTTAGCTATCTCCGTGTGATTATACTTTATTATATCTTTTAAGTTTAGAGGAATTCGTACCCCTAAATATTTCCAGCATGACATAGTCCAGCCAAATGCAAAATTATGTCTTATATAGTTTTTATCACTATCCGATAAAGTTACTGGATATATAATAGATTTGTTATGATTTATTTTAAGGCCAGATATTTTACCAAATGAGTTTAATAAGTGCTGTGTTTCTGGTAATGAGGATTCTGGTTTGGTTAAAAACATCGTCATGTCGTCTGCGAATAAACTAAGTTTTAAATTATGTTCTTTGATGTTAATGCCCTTAATTTTTGAATTAAGACGGATGGCATTGGCGAGGGGTTCAATGGCAATGGCAAATAAAAGTGGCGAGATAGGACAGCCTTGCCTGGTCCCTCTAGAAAGATCAAATTGTTCTGTAAGAACGTTATTGGTTTGAATTATCGCTGTTGGTGCCCGATAAATGGTTTGAATTATTTTCAAAAATTTGGAGCCAAAATTCATGTGTGTCATGATACGATTCAGATAACTCGTTTCTATGCTATCAAATGCCTTTTCAAAATCAATAGATAAAATAAAAGAGGATTTTAAATTTTTAAGACGACTGAATTGGATAATATTTAAAACTTTTCTAGTATTATCTGTGATGTCCCTATTGGGGATGAATCCTGTTTGATCTAAATGTATATATTGGTCAATAATTTTGTTGAGTCTGGCTGTCATAGTGGCTGTGAATATTTTGTAGTCCTGATTCAACAATGAAATAGGACGGTAAGAATTTGTGAGAGTAATATCTTTCTCCGGTTTTGGGATTAAAACAATCTTAGCAGAATTCCAAGTAGGTGGTAAATTGTTCCCTTCCATAATTTGGTTGCAAACTAAAGATAGGGGGTCTGCTAAAGTAGTTGAAAATTTTTTATAAAATTCAGCGGTAAATCCATCCATTCCGGGGGATTTACCGGATTTTAGTTTTTTAATGGTATTTATGAGCTCTAAAGATGTTATCGGTTCTTCCAACCATTTTTTGTGTTGTTCAGATAGCTGGTTTTTTAATGGGTATAGTTGTAAAAAATTATCAATTGATTCTAGGTTTGGCGAATTAGTTTTATATAAAGAACGATAGTAGGTTAAAAATGCATCTGAAATTTCCTTTGTATTGTGCTTTAGTTGCCCCGTTTTATCTCTAATGGCATGTATAGCATTGTCATTTTGTTTTTTCTTAAATTTCCAGGCTAGTAACTTAATTGACTGAGGTGTCTTAAACCAATAACGTTGTTTAAGGTAGGCTATTCTCTTCTGAACCTGGGAAACTTCTAAAGCTTCAAGCTTTTTCCGTTCTAAGAGTAAAGATTTATATGTTTTTTTGCGTCCATATTTTTGATATGTTTCTTCAAGATGCTTTATGTTGGCCATTAACATATCAACTAATTTTTGCTTTTCTTTTTTAAGTGAGGAGGCTATGGCTATAAATTGACCTCGGACTACGGCCTTCAGTGCATCCCAGACCATATTATGTGGGACTCCGCAGGACATATTATGCTTCAAATATTCTTTAATGGTTTTTTCAATTGTGTCTGTTGTTGTTTGTAACAATAAAAGTCTTGCGTCTAAGCTCCAAGAATACGTTTGTTTTGTTTTGTCATTGTCTTGTAAAGTACATTCTACCCAGGAATGGTCAGACCAAATCCTGGGGCCAATATTTGACTCAGTCACCAAATTTGAAATTGATTTTGATGTTAATATGTAATCGATTCGTGAATGAGATCGATGTCTTGGTGAATAGAAAGTATAGTCTTTAACATTTGGGTTTAGTTTCCTCCAAACATCTATTAAGTCAAATTGAAGTAGTAAGTTATGCAATTCCGAGTTGGCAGGTGGAGTGGTGTTTATTATTTTTAAGTTCTGTCTAGATTTAATATTAGTTTTGTCCAAAAGCTGATTTAACGTATCATTAAGATCGCCACCAATTATGCATGGTGCAGTGTTAAATAGTGATAATTCTAAAAATGTATTTCGTAGGAACTCTATTTGCCCACTATTTGGGGCGTAGATGGAGGCCAAGACCACTTCCTTGCCGTTTAAGTTGCCATGTAAAAAGAGGAACCTACCTCTGGTGTCTTTTTGTAGTTTAATCATTTGAAATCTGGTATTTTTACTAACTAGTATGGCCACTCCTCGTGATTTAGACGATCCTTGGGCCTGGTATTGAAAAGAAAATTTATTCGAAGAGAATACTTTATCAAGGTTTCCTTTTAAATGCGTCTCTTGTAAAAAAATTATGTTCGGTTTTTGTTTCACCAGTGCATTTAAAATTCTTTTACGTTTAATGAGTGAGTTCAAACCGTTGCAATTTAACGATAAAAATTTAATGCCTTCTATAGTATTTGTAGACATTGTATTATTTCTAATACACTGATATTTTTAAAAGTAGCGCCATGTTTTAAGAAAGAGTTTTTTTGGAGATATATAAATGTATAAAATCCTATAAAATTGAAAACTGAATGACATTCCATCTTCTCTAGAAATGTTATTTTGCAAAGTGTTCGGTTTAGAACTAAGCGGTTTAGCTTGAAAAAAATCTTATAAGCTATCATAACTCCTAACATCAGCAATAGCTTAAAACAACTTAAACACCTGAACATAACTCCAAATATAACAAAACGCAGGGTCAACTTTTGGGCCCTGCAGTCCCTTTCCTTCAGGGAACAAATAATTACCATTTTATCAAAATGGAAAAATTTGATTAATTGAGTTAAATTGGGAGCCTTATAAAAAAAACAACAGGCTACCCACCTTGTCTCTCTCTTGCAAAAATATCAAATTATCATCAATTTAAAAATAGCAAACCATATTAGTTATGTTAGTTGAACATTTACTCCTTTGCTATATACTTTCACAACATTACCGTTAGATATAAAAACAGAAATAAAAATAAAAGTTAATGTGTTATTTTTATTTGTTAGGTAGCTCTTCATAAAATTAAGTATAAAATTCAACGATGTCTTCATTAGATCTAGTAAGACTGTTAAAGTTCAATATCTGAATTTTACAATTAATAATTTCAAAAATAAAAGATTGGGTCTTATAAAATCAATGCTTACAGTCAGCAAATACAATAATGCGAATGATAAATTACAATAATATTATCAACCAAAAAAAGATAGATTCTCACTGCACCATCGATAAATATACACGACCCAGCAAATATTTGTCTTTGCCATATAAACTTATTAATCCTTAAAGAAAAAGGAAAAAAAAATTTTTTTTTTAATTTTTTTTTTTTTTAAACTTCACCATACAAGAAGCAGGGGGGGGGGTAAATTGGGGAGGGGAAAAATAAGGAGGGGGGAAGGAAAGGAGAAAAAAGACATTTCAGTGGTTTAAATCAACTAACCATAAAGTATATAAATATATATAGGAAAAAGAAAAGGGGGAAAAGGAAAAAGTATTACTCTAGATCATATTAAACCAACAATCAAGGAAAATTAGGTTCAGACTTCACCATTAATAAGTATATAAGATCTTGTAATTATATGTCTTTGCTATATAAACTCATTAAACAAATTAAAAGATAGGTTTTTACTTCACCATTTTAAAAAATAGGGGGGGAAGGGGGGGAAAAAAGGGGGGGGAGGGAGGATAGGGAAGGAAAAGAGAAAGAAAAGAAAAAAAAACACATTTCAATGGTTTCAATGGTTATACCATCTAGTTGATCATTTAAAACTTTTATGTCACTTATAGTTGTATAGTCAAATATAATATAAAAAATTATTAACAAATAAATGGATGTTATTAAAGTTTACAAGCAGCAAGCACATAGTCAAGTATAGGGCATGGAAGTGCTGACAGTCAAATGAGGTTAGATTCATACTTCACCGTTGAAGTAGGTCAAATTCTACGTTAACCGTGCAGTCAATGTAGTGTTTATAAATCTAGGCACGTTAGATATGTAGATAGACTTGTCGTTTTGAAACCTCAGAAAGGTCCAGTTGCACGATCTTTTCGACCTCTTATCTTGTGCCAGCGGGAGATGGCTTGTTCTCTTGGGAGAGGTGGGATAAGAGGGTTCTCCACTGGAAGATCTGAAGGTGGTTGGAGCTGGAGGTCTTGCAAGAGCTTCAAGCCGGTATCCAAATCTGATGCCTGAAGAGTGGTGCCATTTACGGAGACTTGGAGCTTATAGTAGGCTACCCATCTATAGGTGATTTGGGCTGCCGATAACGTCTGCGTAATTGGTTTCAATGCTTTTCGCTTTTGGAGTGTCTCTGATGTTAAGTCCTGAAATATTTGGATTTTGCTGCCTTGCAGTTGGAAAGGACCTTTGGTTCTAGCAAGTACTAGGAGTTTGTGCTTTATTTTGGAGTCCGTCAGCTTAACAATCACGTCCCTGGGATAGTTGGACTGTCGTTGTTTCATGGCGCCAACCCTGTATGCAACATCGATTATGTTGGTTTGATCAGGACCCAAATCCAAAAGCCTCGTTATCCATTCTGTCAGAAATGGTTTCAAATCTGAGGCTTGGGCTACATTTTCTAAAATCCCTCTTATTTTAACGTTATTCGCCTTTAGTTGGTTCTCAAGGCTTATGATTTTTTCCGTTGCCCAGTCATCCTTTTTGTAAAAATAGTATGCGTCGTCTTGCAGCAATAGGCTGCTTTCTAAAGCTGTATCAGCCGTTTGTGCGACTTGGGTCACTGTCTGTTTTAATTCATTTACCTCCGCTGTTATAGGTTTTAACAAATCTGTTATAGTAGCAGTCATGTTTCTTTCGAGTGTTTGCAGGGCGCCATGAAATTCTTCTCGGCTAACCCCAAGGCTTTCCGTTTGCTGCCCGGGCGTTCCGGCCGCCATTTTAGGTGCTAGAACAGTTCGTTTTTCAACGGGGCCTGGTTTTGCGCTTCTCATAAAATATGAGGTGACAGATTTATTTTCTTTCAAACTGAGGTTGAGATCAGGGTTGGGCTTCTTTCCCATGCCGTTTTATAAAGGAAAACTTACGATTTGATGATTTTGAAGCTGTTTTGAGAGAGTATCGGCGGGAGCTGTATAGTTAGACGTCCATTGCCTTACGCGCCGACGCCACGCCCCCCCAGCAGGAACTCATTAGCATAATAGGTCACACCCAGCAGCAGGAACTCATTAGCATATTAGGCCACACCCCTGACTGCACCTCTCATTAGCATATTAGGCCGCACCCCCCATGTTACCAGAAGTGTGGTCATCCAGCCACACCCACCTTTTGCTTCTTATTCTGTTGACCTTGTTTGTTGTCAAAACCCAGGGCCTTTTTTTGTTGCAGGAACTCCTTTGCATGTTAGGCCACACACCCCTAATGTAGCCAATCCTAATGAGTTCCTGCTGTTGGGTGTGGCCTATTATGCTAATGAGTTCCTGCTGGGTGTGGCCAACTTGGGAGCCAGCCGGAACTCCGTTCCTGTGCGTTCCTGCCCCAAAATAACCCTGGTTACATGGATTTTATGGGAAACTATGTGGTTCAATTTTAAACCCAAACTAAATGCTTATTTCAATTATTCTTACTACAGGTGACTCGGGTTTGAATCTTCACTCTGCCCTAGAAGCTTTGCTGGATGACCTTTGGGCCAGTCCCACACTCTCAGACTATCCTACCCCACAGGGTTGTTATGAGGAGAGGAGAATGATGTACACAACCTTGGGTCTAAATTTATTTGCAGGCCTGTACAATAATTTAGTTGGGCAGATGTCATTTTGCCGTGCATCCACCCGATGTCACGCTGCTCATTGCCAATGCCGCAGAAGCTCATTTTGGGGGGTGGGGGGAGAGACCTGCAGCGTTTGCCACTAACATGAAAGATGCCTTCCTCAAAATTTTCTCTCCTGGAGTCTCCGCCTTGTAATGGGAAACAAGTCTGTCAAAATCGTTTTGGTGCAAAGGACATCCTGCTCACGCTCAGAGGTATTATGGCCCCGGTCACACAGAGAATTTGCCGCGCGAAAGGCATGAATTTCAGGTGGATTTTCGGGGCGCAATCACACCGCAACATCTGGGAAGCGTAGCGCACCCGTCGCCAATCCGTAGCGTCCCACCGAAGATACGGAGTTAAAAAGTACCAAGGAAAACGTGCAGCACAGGCGGGCGTCTGATCGCGGGAGCGCTAGTATCCCATGGCATCTGGCGCCCGTCCACATCCCGTCGCAAACCGGATGCTTTTTGTAAGCGCATGCGCACAAACACGAAACTGAAAGTGGTGCTGCTCCACGGAACTGCGCATGCGCACAAACGCAAAACACTTGTGTGGTCGCACCATGCCGCTTCTTTGCCACGCTGCAGCATCGCCTACTGATTGCCAGCTAACAGCCAAAGCACGGAGACTCGGGGGACCGTGTGATCGGGCTACCGCGCTTTGTTTTGCTCCGGGGCAAACAGCCACGCCTACCCCCCCCCCCATGTTATCTGGCCCATGTGACTGGGGCCAATATTGCTCCACGTTCTCCAAGCAGTGTGAAGTTCCAGGGGCAGAGAGCCCTTCCTGGAGATCTCTTTGTACTACTTGCTTTGTTTCCTAATGTGCACAATGAGAGCCCAGAGGGAGGCACTGTGGCACCCTGACAGATCTGCACATTTGACCCCAGGGGAAAACAGGGACCCTGCGCCCAGAAGG